TTATTATTATTAGTATTTAAGGCTGGCTAAGAAGTGATTGGTCTTGGAATGCATTAAAAATCTAATTTCTCTATCACTGATTTATTCTTTTAAGGATAAAAGAATAAATCATTTTTTCTCTAGTTTTACATGTATTAATTTTTACTTGGAAAAAAATTGAAGAAATTTAATAAAACAATAATTACAGAAGAGTAAAAAAGTGGGATATTCCTCTCTCAGATGTGGCACGATGCAAAACTCAAAGTGGAAGAAAATGAAATGTTTCTCTTATAAAATAAATGGGCCTTCATCAAAACAATGACAAAAATCTTAACAAAACCTGTTCATTTATGTTTTTTATATCAAATACATATTTAACTGATATACAGATATAAACGTATTTTCATATTACTGCATTATGTTAAGACAAAGATTCAACAAGAACCTGTGAACGGTTTCAGTTTACATTTCAGTGATTGCCTCTGAGCTGAAGAAGCTTATCTTTTGTCAAAACCTAAAAAAACACATTCATATTGTATGTTTAAGATATATATTATATTCAGGGTTTTTTTTTTTTCAAAATTTTTATTTTTATTTTTTTGACATCTGAGTTTAAACTTGTGCTTTTACACTTTTTTGTGATTTAAAAACCCACTGTGTGCACCATTATGTGCTGCATTGATTTAAGTTAAATCAAATCTGGTCAAAAACAAGTTCCTTTTTAATCAAACATTTTCCACCAAAGTTTTGTTTATATTTAGAAGCAGAGGACACAAAAAAATATAAATCACTGGATGACAATAGCTTTAAACAAATAAGTCATATTTCTATTTAAATGAAGGAACCATGACCAATAATAGTGATTTATTGCGCAGAACTCAGGTCCCAACAGTGATTTCTTTGCATTTCCGAGTGCTCTCTGCTCTGTTGCCTTCATACTCACCATGCAGATGAGGCATTTAAATCTGTCTCCTTTAGACAGCTGTTTCTCCAAATCTCGTATCCGAGCTTTAAGGGCGTCCAGCGTTGTCAGCGTGGAATCCTCTGAAAGCCTAGACACACACACACACACACACACATAACCAAACGACGCACAGTTAACAGGACGGCAGAGGGAAGCAGCGTGAGCTACGCAGACGCTGGAGAGTCATTTATAAATTGAAGACAGATTAAATTATTCGCTGGCCAACATGGACACTGAGCATGAAATTTAGCAGCAATCACATTGGCTGCATTGGCTGTCTCATTTATCATAGGTGGGAGACAGGGCCTGGGTTGTTGGAGGAGGATGACACACACACACACACACACACACACACACACACACACACACACACACACACACACACACACA